GATCCAGAAACATGGTAAAATCAATGGTAAACATATTTTGTTGATTATATTTATAAGACAATAATGTAAATGTTATTATGATAGGCCATCCTTTAGCTCACATGGTGTTATCAGTGGATGTGGCATCGGCCAATCAGATTTTTTATGGAGCGTTCGATCAAATCGTCAAGTCAAAAGTGTCTTTGCACGTCTATGGAATACTCGTCAATTGCTTGTGTCCTTTGATGGATGCGGTATTTTCCGCGATTGGCGTTACAATCCAAAATGGAAAACAAATGGTGGCTGGAATCATGTTGATCAAAATCCAAAGATGAAACCAGATCGTTGTTGTGTTCAAGGTTTAGTTTCATTGACTAATCAAAGTCAGAAAACCGGTGGTCTTATCGTTTATCCACGTACACATTTACGTTTCAAAGAATTATGTGAAATTACTGCAGGTTCAAATGATTTTCTTCCGATACCTTCGAATCATCCAATTATGAATCCCGATCAAACATTTGGTAAACTCGTTCATTGTCGTGCTGGCGATCTTATCCTTTGGGATAGTCGTCTTATTCATTGTAATTCACCTGCTACTGCTATAGAAGAACAACGTCAAGATGAACCAGTTGATCTATTACGTATCGCTGTTTATGTAAGTATGAGTCCAACGACATTCGTACATGGACAAACACTTGATGAATTTCGGCAAAAACGAAAAATGATAGTGGAAAATAATATTACTCTGACGCATTGGAGTACAGAGTTCTCTATTTCGCGTAAGATTTTTTTGATGAAAACAATCTTAATTATGTTATTTATTTGAAATTATTTTCAGGTGGTAATCATGCTGATCTACCCACAATATCCATGGATAAATTCAATGACTATCAAAAGGCTTTAATTCTTGGTATTATCGACGAGAATAATGAATGATATTTTGATTTTCATAAGTTTGGTTTTTTTGGGAAAAGTTTTATAAATTATAGCTCAAAATAAAGAAGGCTCGTCTACATATAGATCTTAGTTTTACTACTTGATGCTATTACCTCAATCTCGACAACTCTAATTTTAACGTTGGCTTAGGTTTTAATTAAGCTGTTATTGTCGAGAGTAAATGATATAAGGAATTAGCCGTTGTTTCAACTGCACAGCACAATCTATTTTACATCTACTCAAAGTTATGCATGCTACATAAGTGCTACTCATAGAGGATGAAAAATACTACAAACGAAATCATTCGAAAATAATGCTTTTGTTTAAGCTACATTACTTTTGTAATGGTCATTTTCATAACTAAGTATAATCACGTTGATTATCAATCAGTATCGACATAAAGCATGTGATCATGATGTAGTTGAGTCAATACAATTACTGAAACATTGTGTTGTTGATCCTTGGAAAACTTTTACTGGCCACAAGTTATATGATATAAAGCGATGAACTTTGTTGAAGCTGTTTCATCAAGACTTGACTAAAATTATCACACATGAATCATATCTAATAAAAGAACTCGATCAGTAATGTCTTCCGTGCCAGCTAGACTTGGCAGAATAAGCAAGTATGATGTGAAAAACACTCGAACGATCGAAAATTTGAAATATATAGTTTTTGTCCGTTCGGTCCCAAATTCGATCGACTCGGTAGTCATCAAACTACAGACATTTGAAGACTGCATCTTATTGATTACTCATTTTCAACTCCATTGCATTTATAAAAGTTTCGAGTACACAGTAAAGTAAAATCTATTCAAAGACTACTATCGACTCCTCAGAAACATATCCATCAACAATAGGTATTATTCGATAAAAGAAAACCTTTTTTTTTTCATCTGATCCGAGATGAGAACCGAACATGATTTTCTATTTTGTGCTTTCCTGTTCTGCAATTGACCTCCGTTCTATCGTACGGCAGGACACAACAAAAATTTCAGTTGTCTTGTCTCGCAGGACTGCCCACGTAGCCGCATTGTTACTGAAAAGATCTCGACTAACCGTGTTTAAAAAAAACTACGATTTTCTAGACAGAGACCAACGTATTAAGTTCGTTACAGTATTTGGGTTCTCTAAAAATTAAAAATTGTATATCGTGGTTTAGTCATGTTCAACACAGTTTATGAAACTCAGGGGCGGCGCGAGCGGGGGTGTGGGTGTGGGTGAGGGTGTGGGTGTGGGTGTGGGTATGGGTGTGGGCGTGGGTGTGGGTGTGGGCGTGGGTGTGGGTGTGGGTGTGGGGTGGGGTGTGGGTGTGAGTGTGGATATGGATGTGTGTTTGACTGTTCTCTTTATTCACACCCGCACCGACGCACACACCCACATTCCAAACTCACACCCGCACCGACGCACACACCCACATTCCAAACTCACACCCGCACCGACGCACACACCCCCTTCCGCAATTCAACAAAGATTTTGC